ATAGTGTAGGTTACTCATACATAAGTATTTCTGATATTTTCTCTGTTTTTCCAAAATTACCCCTGAATTCATATCACCTCTGTATGCAATTGTTTCTTATTTTTATTTTTTTTATATATTTTGTCTCTTTTCCCAAAATTACCCCTCATTGGATATGTTACTGCTATGACCTGTGTATGCGGTTGTTTCTTATTATTATTAATTTTTTTTGTTCCTACAAATTCTATCTATCTGTTGTTTCCTGCCACTGTATATTAACACTGTTTGGATTCTATTCATTACTCTTATTTTCTATCTGTCCTTCCGTTACTATATCTGTAACTTACATTTTTGTTGCCTCTTCTTCGATTACGTCTGTAACGACATATTCATTATCTTAAAATTTTTATACTTTCACTCCATGTGTTATATGGAATATGTGTGATTGTTCATTGTAGCTGTTCCATTTTACGTTACCTTTTGCAATTCCTGTTTTACGGTTTTTTTTCATATTTTGTTCATAACTGTTTAAGAGTTACGTTTGTACGTATATTTTATGTGTTCGTTTTTAGTATTTTTTTTTCTCACAGTCTAATACTGTTGGCTGTTTGTACAAATTTGCTGCTCTCAGTCTGTTATGATTTAAATATTTCATGCTTTACAAAAAAATTTATGTTTATACCTATATCGTCTTTTATAGCAAATGTATTAACAAGTGTTAATTGATTTAATTTCTACATTATCACAGATCTCTATACTATTGAATTCTAGAAAAGAGGACTTCTTCATTGTCATACCTTGGTGTGGGTGTCAGTGTCAGATCGGATAAAAATAGGAAGTGATGTTGACATGTATATCACAGCTGAACTGCCAGATCCAGTTAATGAGGCAGAATTATACGAGACGATAACAAGCTGTATGATCCATGGTCCATGTGGACCACTTAACCAAAAGGCTCCATGTATGAAAGATGGTAAATGCAGTAAACACTTCCCTAAGCCATTTCTTCCTGGTACATTTTTTGACACAGATGGATATGTACGGTACAAACGTAGCTCAACTGCGCACTACACTAACCAATATGAACAGATTGTTGACAATGGATATATTGTGCCCTACAACAAAAGGCTTTGTTCACGATTCCGTGCGCATATTAATGTTGAGTACTGTGGCTGGAGCATGATGATTAAGTACCTATTTAAGTATATTTCTAAAGGTCCAGACCGTGTTAGATATTGTATCCAAAAGGCAGAATCTTCCCATGGATCATCCAGTTCAATGCCTACTGATAGCTCTTACAGATCTGCAAATGAAGATAGTCGTCCTATAAATGAAGTCCAAATTTTTTTGGATGGGCGATATATATGTCCACATGAGGCAGCATGGCGGATTTTGGACTTCAATATACATCATCGACATCCACCTGTTCAGATTCTAACCGTTCATGAAGAAAACATGCAACATTTGATCTTCAAAGGGGACAGCTCCATACCCGAGATTTTATCTAATCCATTTTCCAGCATAACAACGCTACTTGGATGGTTCGAAAGCAACTCAAGGGACCCTAAAGGTCATGAATTGACATATCTTGATTATCCAAAAAGTTATAAATGGGATAAAACAAGTAAGAGTTGGGGTCGGCGGGTTTATGAATCATCAAAAGCGGTAGGCCGGCTTGTATTTGTACATCCGACATGTGGGGAATTATTTTACTTACGGATGCTATTATGTCACCAGAAAGGATGTACATCGTTTGATGACTTGCGTACCGTTTCTGGTGCTGTTTACCCAACTTTCAGAGCTGCCTGTAATGCACTTGGATTGATAGGTGATGATATCGAGTGGTTGACATGTTTCACAGAGGCTTCAGTCTGGGCAACTGCATCACAACTACGATCGCTTTTCTGTCATCTACTGTTATTCTGTGAGGTTAGCAATCCACTTTTGCTGTGGAATACAGCGTGTGATCAGATGAAAGACGACTATTTACATTGCCTCACAACTGAAATACCAGATAAGACAGTTGCTTCTGTTGCAGAGATAGTTGAACAACAACTGCTTCATGATTTAGAAGATACACTCCGCTCGGTGGTCCCATCAAAATCGATGGCAGACTTTGGCCTTCCAGTTCCGTCAATGGATATGATTGGTGTCCTACGAAATCGACTGCTCTTGGAAGAAATGAGCTACGACAAGGAAGCACTACTGAAACAGCACAATGATCTCCTACCAAAGCTAAACGGTGACCAGCGATCAGTCTACAACAAAGTTGTTACTTCCATACAAGACAAAAAAACAAACACTAATATTTGTCTATGGACACGGTGGTACTGGTAAAACATTTTTGTGGACAACTATTCTTTCACATTTGAGGTCGACTGGCAAGATTGCTTTGGCTGTTGCTGCTTCTGGAATCGCATCGCTTTTGTTACCCTCTGGCACGACTACACACTCAAGGTTCAAAATACCTATCGATTTAAACAACAAAAACTCATGTGATATAAAAAACGCACCTTCCTTGGAGATCTTCTGCAGCATACAACACTCATTATCTGGGATGAGGCACCGATGAGTGACAGAAGGTGCTTTGAATTTTTGGACCGTTCACTTAGAGATGTCCTGGATTGCGACGAAAAACCATTCGGAGGCAAATCTATACTCCTTGGTGGTGATTTCCGCCAAACTCTTCCTGTTCTACCAAAGAGTACACGTTCCGAAATCATAGCATTAACTCTACCAAGTTCGTATTTATGGACATACTTTAGTATTCACTTCTTACATATGAACATGAGATTAGAGTCCTGTGATGCAGTACCTCACGGTACAATGTCCTCATCGGATTTTGCCACATGGCTGTTGGCTATTGGTAATGGACTTATAGGTGTACCTGACAAAGATGACCCACGGGACACAAGTTGGATACAAATTCCACCTTCACTTCTAATTTCACCTTCCTCCAATTCCTTGCAAACCTTAATAGATTTTGTCTATGGGGATGGTACACTTAATCAGCCGACTGCAGGAGACCTTTCAGCAAGAGCAATAGTTTCTCCCACAAACGATTCAGCAGATGAGATAAACACTCATGTTTTAGAAATGGTCACAACAGCTGCGAAGGTATACAATAGCACAGACTCCATGCAGCCAAATGGAAAACATACATCGGATTTGGAGGGGCTCTATCCAATTGAATACCTAAACCAACTAAGCTTTCCATGAATACCACCACACGACCTTTTACTTAAGGTCAACTGTCCGATAATGATGTTAAGAAACATAAATCAAAAAGAAGGCTTATGTAATGGTACCCGTATGATTGTGTCACAATTGTTACCAACTGTTATCGAAGTCACAATCATAACCGGTACATCCATCGGAAAACGTGTATATATACCACGCATAAAGTTCATACATAAGTCATCAGATCTGCCATTCATCTTTTCGCGAAAACAGTTTCCAGTTAAAGTTTGTTACGCAATGACTATCAACAAGAGTCAAGGGCAATCACTACGTAAAATTGGTATCTACTTGTCACAGCCTGTCTTCGCACACGGACAACTTTACGTTGCCCTTTCCCGAGCAACATCACCGGATTCCATAAAGATACTAATAAACAACACTGACACAATGAAAACCAACATAACAAAAAATGTTGTCTTTAAAGATCTACTGCATAAAGTTATTTCAATCGAGGTCTACAGTATCACTACCTGTCCTGCCTTTCATGAACCTTACTACTTTTTACTTTTTTCATACATTCTTTGCTATTCCAAAACTCTTTACATATTTATTCACTTTTTTATATTCATCTGGATATACTACTGACCTCCATATCTTTTCTTATATTAGCGAGACCACACAAATGATGACGACTATCTCAGAACTCAAAGCTGAAGGTATCGGAGGGCCCTTACAGGTTAGAATTCCACGCAAACGGAAGCACGATGTCCGCCAATATGAAACCTGGTACCTGGCTGTTGACATATTTGTAAGTTCCTACCAAAACATATGACAACAAATGGGTTGAAAATTGAAAAAAAAATCAGCAAATGAAATATGTACCAACCAGCATGCGATGCCTGTTTATAAGAATACAACAATAACAGTTTCTGAACATGAAGTTTCATGCAATTAAACTTCATATCAACCAAATCATTACCAACTGCCTTTTAATATTGATGAAAAGAACTGCTTTCTTTGTTAAAAAAACATATACGATTACCAGATAATATGACTACCTAAGCCCAAAAACACACCTAATAACACTGATTATAACACTATAATAATCCGTTCGTACAGGCTGATGCAATTCAAATTCTTGGACAGCGAACAAATCAGAGCTACATTGAATCCATTTTTAATGTTTCAGAGTGTTATATCATATCTGATTACAGCTGCCCAGCGTTAGACAAGTATCAAAAGGTTCTTGAAAATGACATCTACATAGATGTTGGTCTGAAGTCTATCATACAACCAATTCCAGACACAACAACAATTCCAAAAAACTGGTTTCGCTTTGTTTCAAAGTCGCATCTGATAGAACTCGGAGAAACACCACCATATTATCTAGGTATTCTTAACAATAAACAAGTTCATAGTACCAGTACTTCTTACATACTTATATTTCCTTCTAAACAGACTTCATTGGTGTTCTATCAAATATAAGAGATTGCACGAAAACAAATAAGGAACCGTTTGTCTTACTTATTATCACAGATGAAAGGTATATATAATAACCATCAAACTACACTTATAAGTTCTAACATCACTGTTTAGCACCAAAAACAACCAAAATTTCAATAGTGGTAGTGACCTCGCAATCAATCTATGGAGAGAATGCATAACAAATCCACATAAATTCAACCGTGCCGCCCCGGATCATGCGGCTACGCCAACCGTTGTTGCAGTAACAAACCTAAAACCATCAAAATCTAATGGTATCCTCTTCTACATACTAGCATATATATATATATATATATATATATATATATATATATATGTAATATGACTATGACATTGTATCCTCTGATGCCCTTAATCACCAACTAACTTACATACAGGAGCATTACGACATGGGTCATCACATGCTACACATATCTATGTGAATCCAGATATACCGGAGACAACAACACTGATTAATTTGTAAGTGACATACATTACAGAACAATATTATCCTTCATATCATCGATATCATATATCAACAAGTATACGACCTCAGATTCACAGGACCCTCAAGGCCAGTGCCGACACCATCTGGAACCCACTCAACCTTACATGACATGAAACTGAAAACCCGATCTGATCTGCTGGTAAGATGATAGCACTAATACAACTTTTTACAAATACACACCATTTTGTACTCCCACAACCAGGTCACCTTTGCCTATAGGATAAAACATTCATGGTACAAGCTTCAATCAAGGACTTTCACTTCCAAAACACCTGGTACCAAGCAACATGTCCGATCTGCAAAGATCTGATTTTCAGAAGAGGTTATGACTGGTACTGCAGTGCACATGGGATAACTGAAAAACCAAACTACACGTAAGTATATACTCAATCAAACAAAAAACAATTCTTCACCAACTACACAATTTACAGCTGTTCTATATCCATAGGTACAAATTGACAGTAACCATTACCGACACTACAGAGACCATACCTGCAGTTGTATCCGAAACATCATGTCGAAAGCTGTTAAACTCATCACTTGACAAATACATATCCGACAACCCCCACACAAATAGAAACAGACTGCCTGCAACCATCACCGATCAAAAAGAACAAACAAAAACAATGTTTATCCAAATGTTGAGGGCATCAGCACCTGACAACATCCGTTTCATGATAATTGACATCCATGACCCAACAACAACACCAGAGCCACCTGTTCCGACAACACCAGCCCTATCACAGATGACAAGAATGCGAAAAGATAACACATCAACTGAAGAAGACATAACTCCTCAATCCATCGCACGTGCTCTCACCTTCAGTCCACCAAGTAATAACCCAATCTACCAATATCTAAGATAAAAAAAAATTATTATCCACAATGAATGGTAACACTTTTCCAATTCACCTATCACAGGCCCACCACCAGCAAAAAATCAAAAACGGAGCAGCAAATAGTAAATACCACAAAGCTGCACTTTCAACCCCATGTTTTGTTTCGAATGATATCATTATCGTTTTGTAACAAATGTGATAAACAAGTATCCTATGTATAAACACTCCATCAAAACATCCTGCTATCCGAAACTATAATTAGTCACACTGTTTGCATGCTTGTCCTAGAAGAAAAAATTAATTTCCTTCCTCTATTAATTAATAACTCACTTATATACAACAATACAATTATTCCCGACCTAAAAACAACTTTGGACAAAAAGACAAATATACCCTGTAAGAAAAACAAATTGTTACAAAATATTATTCTATTTAAACCTGGACAAAGAAATGAGAAAAGTGAATCCTAAATCCCAGCACCAGTAATTGTTGTTCGCTTTCTATCCGTTACAGATACAAAACAACCACTATCTATTTCAAATATATAATTTAAATAACTTAAGTTTACTAATTTCATTGTCTAATAGTATCAATTTTATATTTGTTCCACATCAATAATAAACAATTGAAACAGATAATAATACACAGATATATGCTCTCTGACATACCAATCAACGCAAATGTAAGTACCAAAAGAAATGTACTCAATTAATGGTAAGTTACTAAAATTGACCCCATGCAGTCAAAGATCTGGGCAAATATTGCTAATTGAATACCACACATAAACCCAACAATCACATCTATCAATTAAAGGAAAAAAAAGTCACAGCAGCCACCCTATATCCATTACTTCCCAGAAAAGTAATCAATTGTCCCTAATTAATACCATCCAACAACCCCAATACTCCATTATAAAGTCCCACAGCAAACTCATCGGCTTCACCAACAAACACAACACACAAAATATGCAAGCCATTATGCAGAAACTGCAGAACCAGCTGGAAACAATGAAAGAGTTGTTAGCCTTGGTCCAAGACACATTCACCAGCATCAACCAGTCAAGACAGAAAATGATACAAGAAGCTCCTGAGGAAATGTCGTACAGACATGTTGTCATCACGGAATCGCTCATCAACGACCTCGACAAGGACACTGTGCTGATGCTGGACATTTTCCAAAGCATGCACGACAACATGAGTGCGGCAACAGACATCTGCAACAAAATCATTGAAGACCACCGCACACCATTAACAAGAAACCCTTCCTACACTTTTTGTAATCGAATGTCATTCAGACTCTTTTGTAATCGACAAGCTTTATCACTTAATGAATATTAGCTTTTCCTCCTTATAACTTACTGTCTTTATCTACCCTATAAGCATATTAATCGTCTTCTACACTTATCAATGTTTGCAGTGATTTTCTGATACCCTCTGCCCCCCGCGGAGCGGGGGTTAGGAATCTAGTTCACATTAAAACTATAATCATTATATTTTTTTCTTTTATTTTAATATAGATTTTCTTTTTATAAAAGAAAAAATCTTATTTTTTTATTACTGTTTTTTATTTAATTAACTTTGTTTCTATGATTTAAAAATATTTTAATCTTTTTCAGGTTTAGTTTGAATACATTGTTTAATGTATATTTTTACATTTAGGATGATATTTGGTATTCTAAAATCACAAAATTTAGAATTCGACGCCGTCGGTATTTGTGCTAGTGCTGAACCGGTACCTATAAGGCGATAATAATAGTTCAGTTCGGCACCGTCAGCATATGTGCTAGTATAACTCGAAAAAGAAAATTTATTTAAATCAAATATTAGATAACTTATTAATAAAAACCAAGTATAACTTGTTTTACTTCAAAGAATATTTAAGTTAAAATAAAATATATAAAGCTTATCCGTACAACTATGCAATTTCATTGAATCGATAAATTATTATTTAATGATTGTGTTATTGAGGAACTATATTTTTGTTTATTAAGTCAAATAATCGATACATTTTAATTCAAGAGTACATAATATATATAATTATTTTTTCATTTTTTAATTGAGAATAAAAGTATACTAAATCTAAACAGTAAACTAGATAAATTGTACAAACGAACTTGAATAACAATTTTGCATATTGAACATATGTTTTTTTCTTTCCATTAATTAAGTTTTATTAGCCGTAATATTTTTTTGTATTGTCAAACAATTTTTGTTTTGTACACCATACTGAACATATGTTTTTTTGGCCGCATAACGCACAACGCAATTTTAATACCGTAACAATTAATATACGTAATTAATAAGGAGAAACTTTGCTTTTGTTCCGATTTTATATAGTCATTCGAATTTATAATGTCCGATTTATAAAATGTTGTTCGAAATTTATAATAATAATAACAATAATAATATTAATATTAAAATATAAAAATTATTTAAAACCGATTTTATATAGCCGTTCGAATTTATAATGTCGTCCGAATGTTAAAATTTTGTACGAAAATTTATAACAACAATAATAATAATAATAATAATAATATAAATTAAAAAGATTTAAAAACAACAAGAAAAAAACAAAATAAGAAAAAAACAAAAAAATAAACAACAGAAGACAAAATATCAAATCAGGATGGATGAGATTGAAAAATGAGAATACGCTTATAGAAAATCTCATTTATATATATATATATATATATATATATATATATATATATATAAATAAAGAAAGTATTTCTTACGGAAATAATGTTACTTTAACTTTCCATAAAAAAGTAAAAAAGTAATGAAGGACGTAGAATTAATAAATTGATAATAGGAATAACAGCTCCCATACCGATGTTCCCACTAATTTGTAAAAAACATGTCGACACACCTCTTGGATATTATTCATATCTTGGTAATAAATATTTTTAAAATGCGACTTGCTAAAACAGCCAAAAAATAAAGAATCCAAATGAAAACAGTAAATCCTCATCACATTCTTTTCAATCTCAATTCCGTTGGGCGATAATAAAATTGCATAGCTGTATGATCAGTTAAACAAAATGACCCATGCATCATAAAAAAATATAGTAAATTAATAAATGATGTATGTGGTTTTGGAGAAGTTTCAGGTTTGGTCTAAAGGTTTCTTTATTTGCAGTCATAGTCCCTCAATTGTTTTTATTGGATAATTTGGTCCTTTAGACAAATTCTAACCATAAATAGAGTAAATTAAAGAAATGATGTGTGTGCTTTGGTCATATTTTGTTGTTTTGATCCTTAAGTTTAAAAATTGATAGGTTGCATCCATGATGCTTCATATAAAAAGACTAATTTACCTTTCTTTTTTCGTTTTCATTTTCTTTTAGCAATTTATTATTATTATTATTATTATTATTATTTAACAATTTTATTTGTTCTTTATTTAAATAGAATTTGTATAGATTTCTTATAAAAATATTTTTATTTTTTTCAAATTAATTATATATATATATATATATATATCATATTATTTTTTATTCTTACCTTTATTTATTTATCTTTGTTTTTGTGGTTTAAATTTTTTTTAATATTTTTAACGCCTTATTCGAATATACAATTTAATATTGTTTTTTTTTAACGTTTTGTCCCTTCACATTATATAACGTTTTTTTTATGTTTTGCTCGAATAAACAAATTAAAATAGAACAATAGATAACTATTAAACATTAGATATAATTATTTAATGTTGTTTTTTTTATGTATTTTTAGTTTACATCATTCGTTTATGTGTTTTACTTTTTTTTTTATTCAGCTTTAAGAAGTTTTATTGTTATTTTTTAAATGAATAATCTTAAATATTAGGATAAACAACTATCATACAATTTTAACCACTATCAAAATAAAAACTATTTCTTAAAAAAATAATCTAAAATAAAATCTACCCAACTCCGATAAGGCAATACGCCGGGAACCTACCCAAGTGCAACTTTCACCACAACGGCGCATGCCGTGAAATGCATTGCACCAACTGTAACAAAAAGGGGCACACCGCTCGATTTTGTAGAACTCCAGTCCAACAAAACGCGCAAGCTGCCAACGCCGGAGCAATTCGAACCTGCTATGGTTGTGGAGAAGCAGGACACTTCAAGCGTAACTACCCGAAAGCAAGAAACCCTAACTCTGGTGAAGTGGGTAGAGTACCGGCGATAGGTCATGAGGAAGCCGTCGCAGATCCAACTGTGGTCACCGGTACGTTTCTCCTCAACAATACATACGCATGCATTCTTTTCGATAGTAGCGCGGAGAAAAGCTTCGTGAGCCATCAATTTAAACGCTTACTTAAACAAAAACCACAAACACTAAAAGACACGTTCACCGTAGAAATGGCTAACGGAAAAACAGAGAACACTAACGACATTTACACCGGGTGTACACTCACCTTAAACAATCACTCTTTCCAAATCGACCTTATGCCGGTCACCATAAAAAGTTTTGATGTTATCATTGGCATGGATTGGTTATGCCCTCACCATGTTGAAATCCTATGTCACGAAAAGGTCGTTCGCCTTAATCTGCCAAATGGAGAAACCCTCGTCGTCTATGGCGACAAGCCTAGCTCGAACTTTCATATCATCTCTTCTGCCAAGACTCAAAAGTACCTCCGCAAGGAGTACCACGCCTTCTTAGCCCACGTCGTAGACCAGAAGCAAGAAATGAAAAACATCAAAGACATTCCGGAGGTCTGTAATTTCCCCGACGTATTCCCGGAAGACCTTCCAGGAGTGCCCCCTGCTCGACAAGTCGAATTCCGAATCGACCTAATTCCTGGAGCTACCCCTGTAGCCAAATCGCCATACCATTTAGCCCCAGCCGAAATGCAGGAATTGTCTAGTCAATTGAACGAACTGCTAAGCAAAGGTTTCATTAGGCCAAGCTTCTCACCTTGGGGAGCACCAGTCCTATTCGTCAAGAAAAAGGACGGATCGTTCCGT